CTCCCCAAAACCCCAAAACCCCTTACCTAAATAATTTGAAATTGAACATAATCTATTCTCTGGAAATTAATTAGTAATTAATTCGTAATTAATTTAAATTTCCATTGAAAGAATCTAGCGAAATCTCGTAACTAGACATTCCTTTTAATTTAATATATTAATTTATCTGACTCCCTTTACTTTTATGTGTGAGCATTTAATGATATACTTCGGAATTGCTGACATCACATATTAAAGCAAGGATAAGGTTATTGGGCTTAGTAAATTGAGTAGAATCTTGGAGCATTATTCATAGCGTCCAAAGTTTTAGGAGAGACTGGCATGTAAGTATTCAGGGCTTTGTACTATATACTGGGAACAGAACATGTAGAAGTAGCAATGGAGGTTTATCATTTTTGCATGCAAGGAAGAGGAGTTACTTAGAAAGAATCCAAGACTTTTAAAGAAGGAAAAAGGAGAAAAATTTAGGAATCTCACCAAATTAGAAAGCACAGAGGCTTTACTGATTCTAAATTAAATAATAAGATTAAGGAATTCATTAGAAATTAACTTTCAGAAAGTTTTTCGTAAAATATTATAATACTGCCTACTTAAATAACCTCAAATAAAATTTATCTTTTGAATAATTAATTTATATTTTCATTAATCAAGGTGTTAAAGATTTATACAATTTAGGCAATTAAGTTAGTTCATAATTTTGCTTAAAGTTATTCGCACATCTAGCATTCCAAGCCTTGATATTCACGGATCGTGACATAAATTTCAGTCAAATGACTATTATCTTAATTTTTCATTAGCTCTTCTTTAATCAATTTGGCGCAGTGACTAGCAAGACCTTCAATGCTTGTGTATTCTAAATCCAAAATCAAGCAATCTCCCTTTGGAAACTAGAATATTTCATCAGTTCCCTTTACTTGCATAAACACATGATTGTCTTTTTCGGAAATGCCAAGTGCAGGACTAAGTCTAGGGATAAGCATTTTACTGTGAAACTGTCTGCAGATTTTTAAGCAAATCTCCTAAATTTCATTCTTATCAATAATGTAGGCTTAGTTGCTTTGCTTTTATCCAGCTACTCTGACAATCATTCGGTAGTTGTGTCCGTGGAGAGTTTCTCTCTCTACTTTTCCATCTTTACCAAATCTAGCTATAAAATGGGCAGCAAAAAACCTTAAGCTCTCTTTTTCTAGCAATACGCTTCCTACCTACATTTATCTTTCTTAATATATATTGTGATAATTATCTCAACTTCTCTGTTAATAAATTTATGTTGGGGTTTTGGGGTTTTGGGG